CAATTCTGGCTTTCATCGTGGACTCTTCTGACCTGATTGATGTGATTTCAATCCTGACTCAGCCAACTCCCAGGAAGTTGACAAAAATCCTGACATGAGTAGTTAATTCATTTCAGGTGGTAGGTAGGTAATCTGTTTCAGGTGCATACCTTCTATTGTAACAGTTTTCACAGAACTCTCATATTTCTGTAGAAACTGATTTTTAAATTTCCAAAGATCACCAATGTGCTAGTCTTGATCTCAATCATGAATACATCTGTCTTCTACAGAGCTAAAAATATCTAGTTGCATAAGTGGAGAAAGTACGGAAGTGGGCTGATTTCACAGTTAGGGTGTTGTAATCTGATGCAATAAGAACATAGTGAGATTGATGTCAGTTAGTGAAGTTGTGAGCAATCTCACCAAGAAGTACAACTGGAAAGAAGCCCATACCAAGAGGATCATAAAGGGAAGCAACCAGATAGATCAAGATCCTGAAAGTCTGAGTGATATATAAAATAAGTATTATTGTAATAAGCTAGAGAGTCATACCATTGAGAAGTTGTGGTTAGAGAATGTAGGGCTGGTCTAGACTTCACCAAACTGGACATCTGAGAGTAGCCACAGGATCATTAGTCACTGTCAAACAAGTCATTGTAAAATAATCTGCTAAACTCACAATAAACTCCCTAGACTAAATTCATGGACTTTTATAAATGTATGAAGCAAAATGCAGTACTCTTTCAGCTGGGCTTTCTCCTTCTTAATATAGTTTTGAATACTTTTTAAATAACTATGTGTAACTCATCACTTGCTATGTTATATACAAATGAATTAATTCTTTCACAATTTATCTCATATATTGTAACATACAAAATACATAGATTCCAAAGAGCTAGGCAAGTTGAAAAACTGGAAGAATTCCAAATAAAAACAAAGCAGAAACATTAATTAAAATTTGGAAACTTCATTTATCACTTGAAACCAAGAGTTTTTAGGTAAAAATTTCTAGACATATACATCTCGAAAAAATTTTTTTCTACAAAACTTCTATAATATCAAAGGAGATTAACAAACAGTCTATAACAAATAGTTGATAAGGCAAACATTTATTCTTTGCTCTACAAAAGAACCCAAAGTATATTGAAGTTTTATTCCTATAGTGTACTGAGAAACTGAAGTAACTTTCTCAAGGACTCAAGTCAGAGAGAAAAAAAAAGTGGAATTAGGGTCTCTAAGGTTGCCTAAAATCTAGCAAGGAAGCAATAACATCATATTACTTCAAAGGCAAGAAAATCAACATACTAAGAAATTTAGTAGAGAAAGAGAATATGAACATTTTTACTAAACCATTCAATCCTGACAACTTATTATTTCTGTTTACACACACACACATACACACACCCACCCACACACACAATTCTAAGACATAGTTTAAACCTTTTTGTTTACTTAAACTTAAAAAGTTTGAGTTAATTTCTCCAGAATTCATTTTATAAAACCGATATATGCAGTTCTTTCTAATCTATGGGCCAACCTACTAAGTTTTACTAAACAATTTATGGAGAAAGTCTTGATTAACCAAACCTTGTTTTCCATAGGGACATATCTTGATGAAATTTTAAAAAACATAACTTTTTGTTGTATAGAAAAATTTAAACATACAAAGTAGACAGAAATAGATAATAAATCTCCACATAGCCATCATCCAGCTTTACAAATTACCATTTTATGGACAATCTTGTTTCACAAAAATTTCTTCAAATATATCTTCAATTTCTCCTATTTTGAAGCATCATATAATTTTATCAGTAATTATTTCAGAATTATTTTCCCCCAAAACATAATAAAACATAAATACAGCAATAGTATAACATCTTTAAGAAACTGTACTTAAATTCATTGATATCATTGAATATCTGGTCTATATTCAAGTTTCCTTTTATTTTAAATACCATAGATAATTTTGGTTTGGATTCTTTTATTTTTATTTCTTTGGGGAATTAACAGTTTGATCACATTTAGTACAAAATTTCCTATTACCTGAATATTAATTTCTCCTTATTTTTACTAGTGGAATAAAATATTTTCTGGACAAATATCCCTTCTCAAAGTCTTCTGACCATTTTAACCATTATTTCATGTAGAATGTAAACTCACCATTAGGTGGCAGTGCATGATTTATAATTTTGTTACAGTTTATAAATTGAAAAGCAAATCTTTACTGGTTTCCCTAATGTTCATTATAATTTTTTTTCTCATGGAAATAACAGTAAATGTGAATTGACTAAGTTACTTACAAATTTTAAAATAGAATTAACCTATCTTTATGCTGATCTTCTGCCTCTTAATGAAAAGCCTGTATCCAAGTTCTAGTTTATATGAGGTTCACTATTATTAGTTGATTAATAGTTGTCTAGGATTAAAAATACATTACAATGTGGTCTCATATTTCAAAAATATTAAAAGTAATTGATTAGAAATGATAAAACCTATAAGGCTGCATCTTATAAAAATGTATTAAATGCCAAATGATCAGCCATGAGTTATTCATATGTGGAATTAGAAAGATCTCTGATGTTTGAGAATATCTCTGAAGATTTCTTAGAGGAACTAGGAACAATAGTGATCATGATGACAGCAGGGTACTTAATAGAAATGTGAGAAGAAGGGAGAGGTGTTTGTATGGATGGACAGCTAAACAACTACTTTGAATTTTCTTTAATGCACTCATGAATTAATTTTCTTCCATGGAAATATCATTTTGTAATGAAATGATTCAAATTATTATAGACTCATCAAAGACTGTCCCCTTATACTGATAATTCTGAATGTATAATAAAATTTTACCACACATAAAATCTATGGGATGTATGAGAACATGTTTTTCAACTTCTACAAAGTTGAGAAAGTAAGAAGTTGTACCAAATAAAAACCTCAACATATCAATTTTTGTATTTCTGGATACTAATGAATGTGCACATTTTGGAAAGCTACTTAACAAATTTATACTAATGAATTAACTTCAAATTCACTATAATAATAATTTGGTCATAGAACATATTCCATATTATATAAGTATATAATTTGTGGTGTAAATATTCCATAAGTTAAGAAGTAAGAGACACAAGAAAATAAGAATTAAAGAATTTCTTTATTGGACAAAAGTAATATTAACTGATGCTGTCATGTGGCTAAATACTTTAACTCTGATTTTATTACCTTCTCTATCACTGGGAACAATTTCCAAACTGGAAATACAAACATGGTAGGAAAGAACTGAAGCTTAACATAAGTGAGGAGATAATAAAATAAGTTATTTACATAAATTTAGGCCCATAAAATGGTAGGAAGTAAATATCAGAACAGTAGGAGAATTGACAGTTCGAAATGAGGAGGTAGCTTTTGCAAACTTGTTGAGAGAACAAGGTGCTAGAAGACTGGATATTGGAAATTAGACATGTCTAAGTTTATCCCTGAAAGTGTGCAAGGTATCCTCTTTGTGGCCATCATCTGACTTGTCATGCAGTGTGGGTTTTGGAATAGACTTTATCAGGTAACAGAGTTACAATCAAAGAACAGAGAAAAGAAGAGAGACAGATTTTCCGTACTTGTAATATCCCCTGGCTAGGGTGACGCACCAGGGCACTCCAACACAGAGCGAGCTTGAAAGTAACTTTCCCAACAGGGGCAGATGGGCAGAGTAAACTAGAAAGTCATCTGGCACAAAACTTACTGACTTTTAATAGCAGCTGTTTAAAGGATGCATTCAGGAAAGGTGTCTGTTTGGCATCTGATGACTTTGGATACCTAAACAAAGCTGTATTCCTTTTTTCCAATGCAAAACATCCTGTGGAAGCAGCTTCTATCACAAGGAGGAGGGAGGAGTCCTCCATTCTAATCAGTTCAGGGACAAGGCAGCCTATGGTAAGTTCTCAGGGTTATTTTAGGACAATTATGCTGGTTATATCACAGAAATTCAATATTATAGTGTAGATTTTTAAACAAATGACATGTGATTGCACCAAGGAAGAAAGACTTTTTGATTACTCTCAGAAATAGAGATCAACTTTGGTAGATTTGTCTGTAAAACAGGTGTACACATGAGTCAGGTACACCTAGTGATATGTGATGTTATCAAAGTGTACCTATACTAAACTTGGCCAAGCTTCACAGAGCCTATAAATGTCTGTGTTGTGGTACTGACCTCCAAAGCTCTGTAAAGGGTCCTCTCAAATTCAGTAGGTAAGAGGCCTCTCCCTTCAGTTATTCATAGTCAAGTCCCACTGATGACCATGCTACTTTGTCCTAGGGAGCAATTCTCCAGAAGGCTCACTTCTTCCAGATCTGACCAGCATCCACAGTGATTCCAGCAGGAATATCACCACCAGTGACCCTTCCTAAGACCTAGAAGGAACGCAAGCATTGCCGCCTCTCCCCCCTTCTTCTTCACTCCTGTCCCCACACACTCCCTGTCCTTTCCTCATCCTCTAGTGGTTCCTAAGTTTTATTTTGCCGCCTCATTTATTAACCCTTTTCTCCTTCATCACAATGCTAACCCTGTTTATCATTTTTAACAGAGGTATCCTTTTGCCTTTTTTTTTAAAGTAATAATATCAAAATTTAACTCTATTTTTCCAACTTCAAAACAGTAGAAGAATAAACCTCATGCCTTCCATATAAGGGTAATTGAAACTTTTTCTTGACATAATACTATATTTGGGCCCAACTGACCTTGACTCTGTACCAGGAACCATCCAAAGTGTTTTACACTTGCTAACAGATCCAAACACACAGCAACATTTGGGAGTAAGTACCATTATAATCTCATTTTATAGATGAGGAGACTGTGAGGTCACAGTCTAATGACTTGCCCAAGTTCACACTGCTAACTCAGCAGCTGGCCAGATGCAAACCCATCCAATTTGGCCCCAGAGGCCAGGTTCTTAACCACAGTTCTTAACCACAGTAAGAAATCATTGCACACATACATACACATATCTAGTTTTTTACATCCAGCAACATTTAATCCACTTTAATTGCAATTTGTTACAATTTAAATAGCAACATATTTTTTTTTTGTTTAAGAGGCAAAGAGGAGTTTATAAATTCCAATAGGCATCCTAAGAAATGAAAGATATTACAAAAACAGTTTTCTTCCCTCAAACAAGACTATTCAAGATCCTTAAAGAGAAGAATCAATTCAAATCTATCAACAAATTCAAAGCTTTTACTTTAGATCTTCAAGACATCTGTTGCTGCCATACCCCAGACAAGATTCCCAGTTGGGAAGAAGTTAAGAACTCTATTGTCTAATGTTCAATCTGCTAAGAATTCACTGTTATTCACTTCCCCACACTTTCTCTGAGAGTAAGTTTAATACTTTAGGAGATTAAAAAATATTTCTTTATTTTGTGAAGAATGGAACTTTGGATTGTGCTGATTGCATATATATGCTTGAAGCTCGATTTGTACCATATCACTTCCCCACCTGAAATCAGAAGCAAAAGATCTTACCCAGTACAGCTGAATGCATGGCTGTGGCATACACTTTCAACTTGTGTTTGCATTATACTAATGAACTTCTTTGAAAAATAATTAAGTGCCCCCAAACAACCAAATTATTTTATGGCTTCAAGTTCTGAACTAAAATGGAGTTGCTTTTCCTTATCTCACCCAGAAAACCCCCAATGACCTTGGAAGATAGATAAAGAAACTGAAATAGTGATTAACCAAATAAAGTCATAGAACTTTTTCTTGTTTCTAAAATGTAACTGGTATTCCACTGCAAGCACTAATTACTAACATGTATTACCATCAAAATATTTTGAAATACATAAGCCCTTGAAGAAGAAATATCCTATCTATCAAATATCAGAATTAGCTTCTCATAATTGGTGTCCCTTGGGGTGTTATGGGGGCAGGATATTGTCAGAGAGAAGGGATAGGGAGCACATAAAACCCCAGTAAGTCCACTGAGCTCATGGCAAGGAAAAATATTTCATTTCATGTTTGTCCTCATCTTCATCATTTCCTTTTGAGGCAGAGAATTCTCCTGAATGATTGCTGGAGCTTAGAGTTACTCAGGATGATTATAATCGAATGGCCGGCAGGGTATGCTGCCATTATGTCCTTCACCACAAAGAACTGATGACTTCTGTAAGAAATTTGAAATGTCATATTTGTCATGAAGGCAGCAAAATAAGAAATAAAGAAGCAAAAGAATGTTATCACTGTTCTTAATGCATTTATATGAGCTTCTCTCTGGGCATTGGGAAAACTATGAGGTCCGTTTTGTATCCGGTGAGTGTGTTTGTAAAGAGAGATGAATAACATGCAAGTGCACATCACAAATATGAAGAGAGGAAGGACTAATGCCAAGTTGACAAGAAGCAATTCGTTGTTATTTTTTATGTTGGCTGTAGCACTCTTTAGGGTAGTGTTTGTGAAGAAATCAGCATAGTCGATTTTAGGTAATTCTACCTTAGTACATACCACTGCAGTGCTCAAAGAGGCCAGCAAGCTGACCAGGAGCAGCCAGAGGATAAGCTTCGAAATCCTGAATTTCAGCCAAAGAAAACAGGAATGAGTGAAGGTTGCAATCTTGAGGCAGTAAAATATAGAAAGGCTGGTGGCAAACCAGAGACTGATAGAACTAAAAAACATCCAAAAAAACATCATCTTTGCCCCATAAATATTTGCCTGATAAGCAAGTGGAAAGAACACAGAATACAAACTTTGTACTATTAAGATCATCTGCAGGCCAAATCTTGATATTCCAATACATAGTAAGAGGATTTGTAATAGTAGTAGCCTTCTGCTTTTGATCAAGTCATTACAGCTCATGATTATAAGAAATCCATTGACTGTAATCCCTATGAAGAATTCTGTTGACATGAGGACCGAATGAAGAGTAACTGACAAAAGAAGGGCCATGTTTCTTAAGATGAATCTTAGCGTTTCCCTGTAGATGATCTTAAATACCTTCCCCTGAGGATCTTGTACACAGGAACATACAGCTTGGAGAAATCTGATCATCTGTCAACTCCTGGATCATAGCTAGAGTCTCACACTCGTTTTTCCTCACAAGGAAGAAAATCAGAGAGACTGCTTTTTAAATCTGGTGCTCTTCACATGAAGCTGTGGGAATGCAAATCCAAACATTTGAATGATAAGTCTTCTAATGACATACCCAGAAAAATTTACCCTATATGTACTAGTACATTCTCACAGTTATTCAGTTTTGAAAAAAAATCTGATTATAAATGTGTTTCACTTATGTTACTGCCATTTTATTTTTCCCTAATGTCATATGACATATCCTCAGGACAGAAGATTATTTCCTGTTTTCTGAATACACAGCCTTAAAAGTGGCTCTTTCCCAATCACCTTTTTAAACTATAGTACTTCTGAGACACTTTAATAAAGTTTCTCCTCTTTGTTCTCCACCCTCACCAGAGGAAATTTCCTCTCCATACTTGAACATCTGTTTCTGGAATACAACTTTTTTTTTTAAATCTGAATCCTATTTTAACCTGAATATATCATGTTTTCACTGCTGCATTAATAGGCTGTTGAACTTATAATTAGCAAGTCAGAGTTATAAAAGTAGTGCATAATTGATCCACAGTCTCACATTAACATACTGTTGTTGAGGGTTGTTTCACAAGGTAGATGGTCCAGAAACTCTTGACCACCAGCAGAGGGCGAAATTGCTATGTCAAAATGAGCTTCCTGCTTATATTAAAAAGAAGCATTCTCATAACCTTGATGAACTTTATTTAAATAAGATGTAAAAATGTAAATAAACTATTATTTTACATAATAAAATGTAATTCTTAAAGGGCTTAGTTTCATAGCTGGGTCATTCTAAGCACTGAATGAATATTACCTACAATTAACATTATTAAATGTCTGTCCTTGTGATGTGCTTACTATAATAAGAAAAAAAAAATTCTGTAAAGAAACACTGTGAACAGGAATCTAGCATATAAGGTTGAAAGAGTGTTAAAAAGAGGAAAAAAACAAATAAATGGATTTTCCACCCTCTGTCCACACCGATCCTGGTTTTTAGAGCTCCCCGTGGTATTCTGTGAACTGTAATCTACTGGGTGAAGAAAGCAAATGCCTGCTTTGTCACCACCCGACACATCTTTCACACACCACCCTTTCCAAACTGCAGCAAGAGTGATCCCATCTCTATCTCTTCTAAAATCTGGTTTGATGACCCACATAAAGACTCTGGCTTTCATTTTGCTTCTGGTTTTAGGTCTTGGTCTTTCCTGTTTCTAAAGGGTAACTTTGCCCTGAAAATAGTATTTGCTGGGCCCCCTGACCTCTCGATGGCATTCCTGCTTCAAGGTATGAGTTAAGAAACTTCATTTGAGTTCCAAACTCTAGACCAGAGTCACATCTGTGGAATGAAGGAAAGAAAAGTAGAATTTGGACTGCTTACAGCTTACTACCCATTCGTGAGTTACCTGAGACTCAGTTACATATTTTCAATGTTTGCATTTAAAAGATCTGATGATTAAGTTCTCAAATACTGTGGACCTGTACAGAATTCTGGTTCTTTGTTAAAAATAAAAATCCAATTAATTTCAGCTTTCCATTTTTCAAAAATTCTGTTTTCATCCACATTTTATTATGAATATTTTTACTAAATAATTTTGCTGAGTTAAAAGTGCTTGAGTAAATGAGGGACAGTGTTTCAGTCAGCTTTTTCACTGTTGTGACTTAAGAATCCAACCAGCACAATTATAAATGAGAAAGTTTATTTGAGGGCTCACAGTTTCAGATGTCTTCGTCCATAGAATGACGGTTCCATTCCTCAGGGCTCGAGATGAGGTTGAACATCATAGTAGGAGAGGGTGGCAGAGAGAAGCAGCTCACATCACGGTGATCAAAAAGCAGAGAGAGACTCCAGTCTCCAGATGCACATATATACACCAAAGCCACACCCTAATTCCCACCTTCTCCAGCAACACCCTACAACTTCAGTTACCACTCAGTTAATCCCTATCAGGGGATTAAATCACTGATTGGGTTAAGACCCTCACAACTCAATCATTTCTCCTCTGAATCTTCTTTTATTGTCTCACACATGAGCTTTTGGGGGACACCTCACATCCAAACTAAAACAGAAAGCAATTTGGGATATTCATAACCAGCTAGATAACATGTACATGCCAAATTACTAATTTTGATGGATTAAAAAATCTTGGAATGTATACTGAAGATGGTGATAAATTTTTATTATGACAGGTATCAATTCCATTTTTATTATATTTTTAGAAGCTATTATAAAAATATATACTAATATACCTAAAATACTTCATATTTTAGTTCAGTAATGGGGGTCCTTCTAGATTTCAACTATCTTCACCATAATAACCAGGATATAAGTATAAATGTCAATATATTATCATCCTCATTCTCCATTTCTAAATTTATGGTCTTTTCTCTCAATTTTCCATGCTTAAATAGTTTTTAAAAAATTGGATCAATACATGGAAACTCTTGTTAGCAAAAACAATTCTAACACATTGCAATTAAGATGAATTTTCTCATAAACCTATTTTTTAAAAAATATTTTATTGTTAAAATTTCAATGTTATACCAACATCAGAATGCATGTATGCTCTGGACATACTTCTTAAGAACATTTTTTTGAATTTCACTTCTTAGATAAATATATAATTTACAAGCTATGCCCCCACTGAGGGTCCAAGTTCTTTGAAATTTGAGACTGAGCTGGTTTCAAACCACCTTTTATTTGTCATGTTCATTCCAGTGCAACTGGCCAAATGGATTGTGGGCTATGTGACTCTACTATGAGATTTGAATTCATCCAGTGCTTATTTCATTCTGAAATCCTGGATTCTGTCTCTGATTTGCCTCTCTAATGTATCATTTAATTGAAGAGAAAGCTTGACTTTTGCAAGAACTATTCTAAAAGTATAATTGACATTAAGCTAAAATTTAGTTTGTATTTGCATTTGTGATTTTCCTGTCATATGGGCCCTGATTTGCATTTGCCCCGTTGAATCTTATTTTGGAAGTAGAATTTTAGTGAAGAGCTCTTTCTCAGAAGTAGGAAAAGTTCATGGTGAGGGAGACAGACTTAACATTACTAATTCATACGCTTGTTGGAGATTTGGAAAATAGAGAAGCCAAATGGAGAAAGATGTTTTCCAAATAAAACAATGTTTGAAAGTTTTACTGAAACAATAGATTCCTTTTTGAAGAAAATAATTTCTCCTAGGAGGCACTGAATATTTATAATTTGTTAAACTAATTTTAGTCAAGTCACTTCCTATTGATAGTATGATTTTCTAAATTCTCACACATCTTAAGAACTGACATACCCCTAATGCTGTCCTTCATTTTTGTTTTTAATTGTTGAATACTGTATTAAAATCCTTTGATTTTAAGGTGATGATCATAAACTAATTGGACAATTAGAAGGTACTTCAAATATTTGAATTATAATTAGCCATTGCCTGTGCACAGAGAGCTGCTCATTTGCTTCTTCATTGGGTATAAACTGTAGAAATATTTTAATTTTTAAAACAAGCTCATTGAATTTCTTCTTTATGCCAGTGAATAATCCAGGTCTTTATAGATCACTAAAGAAGACTGAAGTTACTTTCTTTCCTTTAGTTGAACTCATTTTGTTGGCAATTTTCCCACCACCATGGCTTTGCTGTTGAGGTTTGGCAAAGAGAATTGACACTAAAGACTGAATCTTTTATTGGTCCAAATTGATCCACTGGATTAGTTTAATACTGTGAAAATACTCAAAATACTTTTTAGGCTTCTGTAAAGAATCAACTCAAAATTTCATTTGCATTCTGTCTTATTATTAGTAAATATATGAAGTAAAAGGAGGAGTCTTTAAAAAGCCCCTTCTTGCAAGCTGGTGGCATTCAGTTCACTATCTCCTTTTTGAGATCAGGATCCAGTCAGTGAAGAAAAAGCCATTGGAAGTTTTTCAATATGTCCTCATATCTGTTTATGTCATGTAGTTTTCTTATATTTTGACTTTCTTTCAGGATTATAATAGGTTGTTTCTGTGGATTTTGAGTTGAAGATTAAGTTTTTAGTTGCTGAATTTTCCCTTCAAGATTCTAGAATAATATCAACCACATGGTGGATGAAAGAGATTGATCAAACAAATTGATCATCAGGTTCATAATTCAAGCAACCAAAATTAGACTCATTCTTGTTACTTGTATTCATAAGTTATTTTCTGAAAAAAGTAGACATAAAATTATAAAAAATAATGAAATCTGATACTCCAATTTGGGTTTGACAATAATTCATCAATTTACTTGCCATAATATTGGTAAATAGTTATCATATTCTTAAAATATATTCTATACATTTACTATTATTTAGTTTTTATTGAAAAGCTATGCAACTGCCACACTTAATGAAGATAATGAAGTGTAGAGACTGAGGTCAGATTTCCCCTTTGGTAAAGCTGGTGATACAGAAAAATAAAAGATAAAAATCTACAGTCTTAATTTTTTCAACATTTTCACATTCATTTTCTGCTAAAACCTTAGAGTAGTTGAACAGTCTTTTTATGAGCTATATCAACAAGATTCATGCTCCAGTGTTTATTATCCAGAATGTTGTGTAACATGCATTTTATTACACCAACCTGAACTAGACAGCTGCCCACCTGCACAGGTGTAACAATCTTAGTAGCATGAATGTAATCAGGAAAAGCAACTGATAACAGAAAATACAGTAAGAGAATAATAGCATAAGCATACCCCAAATTTGAGACTTATTATAATGAAATAAGTAAATAAGGGTAGAATTAAACAGTTCATTTTCTTCTAAAGTAAGAATACAGAGAGTTCATTCTTTAAATTCTTAGTATTTGTAGAGGAAAAGGTCATCTCTATTGCAGGTATAGGAAACTGTAGTCTTGAGATGTTTAGTAACTCACCTAAATTTAATCAGAAAATCCATGACAGAAACGGAAATGTTTTATATCCATTAATAAAAATGGATATTTTTCAGATATACTGTCATATTTCCTCTATAATCGAGGAATTCTACATTTTTGAAATCTACAGACTACAATTCCAAATCAAAGTTGAGAACATACCTAAGAACAATAAGAAAAAAATCATGAAAAGCTACTATTACTTAGCCCAATTTGGAGACCAAATTGCTTCAACAAGTTTCAGTAAACAAATAATGTTTAATATTTTGACTATGATTTGTTTCTTCTTCAGAGGTTGTTTTCAATCTGTTTTCTCAATGTCTGTTTCATGTATAAGGTGACTATATTCCAGCATGGAATGATGGTCTCCCTTTGTATTTCTAGAGGCACTCTGGGTTCAAAATGGGAAAAGATAGCAACTTGTTGGCAAGATATTCTCATGACTGTTTGCTTGGTTCTTCCAAAGACAATTTCTTAAAATGAAAGATGTACAGCAGCTAGAAATGAATCAGCTATATTTTAAAACTCCACTCTCTTACTCAGCTTTAGCATGATAATTTAGGTTGTCCATGACACATAATTTCAGTGTTTTTGAGAGATTTTAAACAATTAATCAAAGTGTGCTTTTCCTGTCTGACATGTAGCTGAAGATATCTCAAGACAATATTCATAGAAAATATAAAGTTTCATTCCCAACTTTGGTGATACTGGCATACTGGAACTCCTAGAAGTTCAAAGAAGTAATATATAAAACTTTTGGAAGTTTATATGACCTCCATTAACAAGTGGAGAGAGAGG